CAGCCTGGTCTACAAGAGCTAGTTCCAAGACAGGAACCAAAAGCTACGGAGAAACCCTGTCTCGAAAATCCAAAAAAACAAAACAAACAAACAAAAAAACTTTTAAAATACGTGGTCACTCCTTGCCTGAGGACAAATTGGAAATGCAATCTTTTTTTTGTATTATTCACACATTTATTTATTTTTTAATATTTATTTATTTATTTATTTATTTATTTATTTATTTATTTATTATGTATACAATATTCTGTCTGTGTGTATGCTTGCAAGCCAAAAGAGGTACCAGATGATTGTGAGCCACCATGGGAATTGAACTCAGGACCTTTGGAAGAGCAGGCAATGCTCTTAACCGCTGAGCCATCTCTCCAGCCCTGGAAATGCAATCTTTATTCTAGACAGTCACTTATTCAATTAAAATGAAGGACATCTAACTCGGTGTGACAGCATACTCCTGTATAAAGCACAAGGATCATGAATTTGAATCCAGCCTGATCTGAAGTGACACCCAGTCCCCAAATGAATTAATAAAGTCTATTACTGAAATTTAACTGTGATTTGTTAGTGGGAAAGAAACTATCAACTTCTACCAAACTCTCTTAAAACTTACTAAAATGTAAACCTTAGTAGGTACATTTATTCACATGTCTCCAAAACAAGTGAAAGAAAAGACTCAGTTGAGGATCTACAGTCAGTATAGAGGTAGAAGGAAATGAGAGTAGTTTCCACTTTTAAATGTCGTTAGAACCTCAGAAGAAAAGTCAAGAGAATGGAAGTAGGTTTATTTTTTAAAGAGGTTGAGTTTTTTCTCTCTCTCTCTTTCTCTACCCCCGCCCCCTAGACAGGATTTTTCTCTGTGTAACAACCCTGGCTGTCTTTGAACTCACTTTGTAGGCCAGGCTAGCCTCAAAGGCATAGACATAAAGGTATGTCCCACCACACTCGGGAAGTTCTTTCTCTAAACTATTGAAAATTAGATTTATAAGTCAGAAATCTCTAGGAAGAATCATATATGAGAAAAAAAAAGTTTGTCTTAGATACATCGGAGTCAGACTGGGAACATAAAAGACCGAAGAATGGAACTTAAAATCAGTAGCACGGAGTTCCTAGGGCTACCATACCCACATGCCACAGACTGGAAGGTTATTGTCTCAGGTTCTAGGCCTGAGGATGTAGTTCAGTGGTGGAGCACAAATATACTTAGCATTCATGAAGCCCTGGGTTCAATAGCCAGCATCTGCTCTCCCAGAAAGGTCTTAGGGTATTTACAGGATTATTAAAAACCTATATTGGGTTTACAATAGGAATATCAAAAACCTGTATTGGGGTTCCTTTGCGTCTAACTGGCTCTGATTAGCTGCAAATCCTTGGTCTTTGGCTTGCATTTGTAACCCCCAAGTATCTCCTTCCCTCATCACCTCTGTCTGTCTGTCTCCGTATGTTGGCTTGTTTGTTTTGAGACAGGGTCTATGTTTTTTAGACTGGCCTTTATTAAGCTCCTGAGATCTCCTAATTCTCCTGCTTCAGTGTCTCAAGGATCTGGAACTACAGGTGTATGCCATGTGTCTAGCTTTTTCTGTTTTTATGGAACACCTGTCATGGCCTAAGATATGGCTCAGTGGTAAGGCGTTTGCATCGCATGTTTCAAGTCCCAGGTTTCTTGCTCAGCATAGCAATAAAATAACGAATAAATGAAAGATCACATACCAGCTCACATGTAATTCCAGTGACTGGGAGACTGGTGCAGAAAGATTTGCCAAGAGTTTGATTCTAGCCTGAGCTACACGGTAAAGTTAGGCCAGCCTGGCCTATAGGAAGATGGCCTCAAATTCTAGATTCTCCTGCTTCTGGCTTCTCAAGTGCTGTGATTATAAATGTGCATTTGTGGCTAGTATCACCTCATCTTAACTAATTATGTCAACAATAACCCCACAGATGTCCCCCCATATATGATGGGGTGAACCTCCCTGTAGGCCCATTTTAAGTTGAAAATATCTTAATCTAAAAGGCATTTAAGATGGATGTGGTATCAATATTTACAACCCTAGCACTTAGGAGGAAGGGGCAGGAGGATTCCCATGAATTCAAGGTCATCCTTGAACTCCTTAAAAGAGACTCTGTCTTAAACAAACAAACAAGCAATCAGCTAATATACCAAACCCCCAAACATTATGGCTTGACAAACAGTGCACTGTAGAGCATCCCTTTCTGATTGATGGCTGACAGAGCTGAACTTGCTGTCATTGCCCAGCATCACAAGAAAGTATAAGCAGACAATTCTTTAAGAATGAAGCTCTGGGCCGGGCGGTGGTGGCGCACGCCTTTAATCCCAGCACTCGGGAGGCAGAGGCAGGCGGATCTCTGTGAGTTTGAGGCCAGCCTGGTCTACAAGAGCTAGTGCCAGGACAGGCTCCAAAGCTACAGAGAAACCCTGTCTCGAAAAACAAAAACAAAAACAAAAAAAAAAAAAAAAAAGAATGAAGCTCTGAATGAGTTCAAACCATGCTCTGTCTGCCCTGCTTGGGCTCTCTGGGCTCCTGGGTTTCATGGGGATTGTAGAATTCTGGGATTCAAGGCTTTCAGGAAACTAGAGAGTGAATGATAATAACAGAGTAAAAATGCTTGTGTTTTCTTCTGTGACTCAGAGTGCCTGCATGATTTTTCTACCAGACAGTATGAAAAAGAAAATGCTAGAATTCTTAATTTTGGTAAGTAGAAAAGTAATTTCTTTAAGAATGACATTTACATATATACTAATATCTACCCATACGATATGTACCTCCCTACCCATGAGAGTAGTATACTCTGAGGACAAGGGAATTCCTACTGACTTCATCATACAACAAAATATGCATATGAACAAAATATGCATACAACAAAATATGCATATGAATACTTAAACATCTTAATGGACATGGCTGGTTATAGGATAAAGTCTACTTCCCACCAGATTGACATGGCCACTGTAAGAGTGTAACAGAATTCTACAAGTGAGTTATACTGACCAAGGCAAATAGGTCCATGCTCATATAATTTGACAATATACCTTAGGAATCAGGAAGAGTATCTGATATGGCAGTTTTCTGGGGACTAATAAAAATATTTGAAATAAGCTAGTTTTGGAAATGAAAGTCTATATATGATGGACTTGGGATCGCACAGTCTTCTAAGCAACTTCATAGAGGTGAGTAGATCTATTGAAGAAGGGGTACTTCCAATTTAGTTCTGTCCCTCCCTCTGGTTGGTTAGGCCTGCTACTTTAGTAGTAGATGAGGGATACACTAGTGTGACCTGGAGGTAAGAGAAAACAAGCTTTGTTGAAATAGGAGCAGCGGGGCTGCATCCCCAACACCCTGGCCGCTTGGCTAGCTCATGCCCGAAATAACAACACACAAACTGTATTCATTTAAGAACCTCTTTGGCCCATGAACTCTAGCCCTTACAGGCTAATTCTTGCATCTGGACTAGCCCATTTCTAATGATGTGTGTAAGCGCCCCAAGGTGCGCTTACCGGGAAGATTCTAGCCTCCGTCCATCATGGTGTCTCTGCTCCAGAGAGCAGAGCTGTCGGGTTTCTCTCGGAGCAGAGCAGAGTCTGACCTCACTTCCTCTTCCGCCCAGCATCCTATTCTGTTTATTCCACCCACCTATGTTCTAAGCTATGAGGCCAAGCAGTTGGTTTATTATAATTAACCAATTACCTTCCTCCATCAAAGCTTATAGCATCTAAACAATTTATAAACCACTGGTCAAGTTGGCAAAAAGATGGTCAAACTTTGGAAAGTCAAACTCCCCAAGGCAGACCCTCTGAGAAGCCCTAGTAAGTGTCTGGTTGAGTCTTCTATGCTGTGTCTCTAACCCTCTAAACTGACACCTTGACTGCGCATCCTGAAAAGGAGAGGAAGGGCAATGCAGGAGTGATGTCTTTCCCTGGCTGAATAAAGTCTAAGAAGCAGGGCTGCAGAGAAATGCCTCAGCAGGCAGAGGCTGTATGTTGATCACGCGTTGGTAATAGTACTCATATAAATGAGAGAGGAGTACTTTACCTGACATCGGTGAGGTTAAATGGGAGCTGGAGAGACAACTCAGCATTTAAGAACACGGCTGGTATAGAGGACCCAGGCTTGATTCCCAGACACATAGTGCCTCACAACTGTTCTGTAGCTCCAGTTTCTTTCTTTCTTTCTTTCTTTCTTTCTTTCTTTCTTTCTTTCTTTCTTTCTTTCTTTCTCTCTCTCTCTCTCTCTCTCTCTCTCTCTCTCTCTCTCTCTCTCTCTTTGTATATGTATGACACTCACACACACAGACGTATATATGCATGTAACAACAATTGGTGAATAAAAGACCATGAATTTGAAGGAGAGGATGGAGGGGAATAGAAAGGGCTTTGAGGGAGAAGAAGGATGGGAGAAATGTTCTAATAAATTATGGTCTTAAAAATTAAAATATTAAGTAAATAAACAAAAACATGGAGTACATTTTGTGGTCAACTATTCCTGGATATGAGTCCTGCCCTAGGTGTGATTGATTTATCCAATGACATTGGAGAAAACCGATTTTCTCTTTCCCAGGAGATATCAATTGTGTGCCCTCCCTCCTTTTCTCCTCCTGTNGATGATACCATCATTGGCTTAGGTGATTGAAAGAACAGAAATCTGGTCCCCCCCTCTCTCCCTCTCTCTTTCTTTGAGATAGGGTTTCTCTGTAGTTTTGGAGCCTGTCCTGGAACTAGCTCTTGTAGACCAGGCTGGCCTTGAATTCATAGAGATCCACCTGCCTCTGCCTTCAGAGTGCTGGGATTAAAGGCGAGCGCCACCACTGCCTGACTTGTAGCTCCATCTTCAAAGGCTCAAATGCTCTTGTCTGGCTTCTGAGAATGCTAGGCAAGCAAAAAGGTAGATACAACACATGCAGGCACATGCAACCAAACACACATACAAATTAAAAAGAAATTCAAATTCTAAAAAGAAAGAAAGAAAGAAAAGGAAAGGAAAATGTCAATAGTTGAGGCAGTAGAAAAAAAATCTTGTTTTCTGACAAAAGTAGTGTAAAACAAGTCCAAGTCACTGGGTATAGCTGGAGGTATCCAAATACAGCTCCATCATAGGTCCATTTCTGGATCTGTACTTGGAGGATATGGAGATACCACCGGGAGTACTAGGAGATACTACTGAACTGGCCTCTGCCTTGAATTTAGAGAAAACCTTCACTTGGTTTCCTTGTTAACAGATAAGCCTTTCTTTTGATGTCCTGAAGAGTAACATTCCTCTCTCTGATTTTAATGCCCTAAAGTCCCTTCTCACCATACAATTATTGCCACTAACATGGCATGTTCATAGCCATGCCACCCAAACCACAGGGAGAACATCACCCATAAATCATTGCTTCTCTATACAGCAGTCTTTTCCTCTGCACTAAGAAAGCTTATGCTGTGTAGAGGCCACTTTCAAAATAGGAAAAGGCATTTCCAGATCTTGTCCTTAGCACAAACACCTTTGGGAAGAGCATAGCAAACATTTGCTCCTTTCTCCTCACAGCTGTTTCCAGGAGCCTTTGCAAATCAATTCAGCATGAAGGGAAAACAAGAAAACCAAAGAAGCGGCTTTAAAAAAAATTCGTGACGTCAAGCAGGGTCCAGTGGCTCTTATCTGTAATACAAGCATTTGGGAAGCTGAGGCAGGAGGACTGCTGTGAGTCTGAGACCAGCTTGAGCTACAAATAATACTGTTTCAAAAAACAAAACAAAACGAACAAAGAAAAAGAAGAGCCATGATGTCAAGAGCTACCATGAAGTATCTCTTGGATGACTCTAATGGTATCAACAAACTCAACTCCTTAGAACAACCATGTGGTGAAGTGACCAGCAGAAGCCACAGAAATGGCCACTGTCTGGCATTCAGGAGAAGTTTTGCATGATTTCCTTCATGACTGCACATGGCTTCGCCTTGCCTGCTTCTTAAAAATGTTCAATGGCATGCAGATACATTTTCTGCACTGACTGTTCTTACCCAATGCAATTCCTTATCTAATGTCCCAGAGTGCTAACATAGGCAGGCTGTATCTATGGAATATACTTTCTTTCGCCTCAGTGTCTCTAAGGCTTTATTGGGAAAAGTGTTAGAGAATACAGAAATATTAGCCTGAAAAATCTTTCGAATATTCTCCATAAAGAAAATTCTTTTGTCCTAAGTATTAGCAAGTATACTCCTTCTCTTGCCTATCCCAGCTATCTCATGAAAGGGGTCATAATAATTATTTTCTTTGTCATTATTAGCCCAGTTCTGTTCTTGTAGACAACAGATTTGTATTGTGCTTAAATGTCTTTGGGTAAATGCCTATCCACATGATCACTGGCCATTGTAGGCCCTGTATCTGGGGTGGTCACATCATCCACAGTCACAGAACTGGGTGAGGCTCTTCTTTAAGGTAGAATGTTAGGAGAACATATCCTCTTCTTTCTTCTCTCTTGTGGAACTTCATGAAAGGCTTGGCTCTTCTTTCTCTTGTCTGAATCAAGAGCTGGAGGGTCTCTCTGAGCCCTGATAGGATAAGAACCGTGTCCTTGGGCAGTCTACATGGCTCCTGGTCCCTTGGCTGCCCTTAGAGATGTGTCTGCACCTTTATTGCCATGAGTTGGCTTCTGGAACCCCAGAAGCACTGGAAGATGAACGTCCTTTTAGGGAACCCATTCTTCTCTTCTGGTCTGGCCGCTTTTGTTCTTTCTCTTCCTGTCTCTCTTGCATGTAGCCAAAGCTGCCTTTGGATTTCTCATCCTGTTGCTACTGTTTCCTGAGTGACAGGATTGCAGGTATACAGCATGCCTGGTTTACGGGGCTCAAGCCCAGGGCTTTGTGCATGCTCAACAAGCATGCTACCAACTGAGCTATATCCCAACCTCCATTTTGCTTTCTTTATGAAGCTCCAGTTTTTTAAACTAGCCGTACTACATGCTTGGGTGAAGAGTTGCAGAATGCATTGGTAAATGCCACTGCAATTTCTTTTTTCTTTTCTTTTGTATAATAAAAATGACTACTGGCGTGCTTTGGTAAGAGATCAAGTAGCCCAGAAAGGAGACTGGGTCTGTTGAAGTCAGCGGGATACTCTTCTTGGTTTTTAGTCCCAGAAGTACAATTTAGTAGAGAGGAAGTTTCAATTGCCCAGTGTTCAGAAATCTGAGAAAAAGTACTTTCTTAGGTACTGCCTGGTAACCCAGATGGGCAAGTGTTTGGGAAAGACGAGCTGGAAGAGCGAGGCTCGCCCTCTGGCCAATAGGTAGTGCTGAGGGTAAAAGACTGCAAGTGTTTGGATTCGGGACTATGCTCTTGCCCACCTAATGACGGACTGCACTGAGCTTCTGCTTTTCCATTTGAGATAATCTCCCACTCCTTGCCAAAAACAAAAAAACAAAACAAAAACAAAACCGATTCTCAGCGAGATGTATGTTGATTCTTTGAATAAATCTTGAAATAGGACCATTTGAGGACAGTTCTGATCATCTATGCTGGGACCTGGACAGATCCATGGGAATTTGAACCCTGAAGGGCATCTTCTCTCCGTGAATTGGGTAGTAGTTGCATCAAGGTTTGGTACATGGGGGTGATCCTGGGAGGACAAATGACTGTTAAGACACCACTGACATGACCAGTGGCTTGGACTAAGTGAAAAGCACCATTTGATTTCCTTTATCAACAGAGAGACCTTTCTCCTTCCTGCTTCATTAGTGACATTTTTCTTGCTGGTGTCAGTGCCTGGGAGTGAGCTCTGGGAGTACAGTGTTCCCTCCTTTCCTGGGAGCTGGCTCTGCTTCAGGTAGTCTTCATAATTTGGGAGAGCATTGCATTCTTTCTGAAAGTTTCTCTATAATTTTTCTGGTATATTCCCAGAGCAAGGAACGCTTTGTATCCACACAGCTGACGCTGGGCTCCGAGCAGCGTTGCTGTAGCTGCAGCCAGGGACAGATAGTTGCATATGCACCTGCCAGATGAGGCCCCGAGATGGGTCTCAATGGAAACCTCTCTCTGTGTTACAGAAACATTCACTGGCTTGGACTCAGGAGGCTGTTTCATTTGAATGTCTGCATCATTAGGATGATTGGAGACAGTATTGCTTAGGGCTTAAAAGCCGTTCACGTGGGCTGATTGACATTATAATCCATGAGGGTGAAGCCAGAGTCTGTGCTTCTCCCGCCCTGGCCTGGGTTCTTTACTAGCTAAGGCATGGGTCGTCAGAACCCACATTTGCCTCGTTTCCCACCAATCACAGGGGAATCATTCATCTTGAAAGCAAGATATATGTGAGGTGTTCTTTCTGGGGTCACATTTAACTGAACCCTCTTCTACAAATGGAATGATTTATTCTATAGATAGCCAACAGAGACTTTTGGTTAGAAATTATACAAGCAGCAAAAACATACTTTGTGAATTAGTTTTCTAGTTCTGAGATGGAGGAAATAGGCCAAAGAATGCTTGGAGGTCCATACTGCTAAGTTAGACACAGTCATCTGATGGGATGAGGAGTGTCGTTCAGCCTTGTGCAATGCTTTAGATAGGCAAATTGGGTAAATAGGACTGGCTCTTGGAACTTAGTCTAATATTCTTTGGATTGCAGTAATTTTCTCTTAAGCAGAGATACTCATATATCGCACAGTCTTGATGAAAATATTCTTTCTAGAACACTTTCAGGCTCACATTCTAGATGTACTTGAACTCTAGATTTAGTTTCTCCTTTAGCTCTCTGCAGGAATTCACATTGGCCAACAGCTTGCAGATGCCTTTTTGTGAGGTGATAATTTTTTTCTTTTTTAAATTCAACAGCAGCACATATCCAAGATAGGTTTGGACAGATGTCATTCTCACAGATATCTGGTAGGGGAAGTACAAAGAGCTGCCTCCACACAGAGGAAGGCAGTGTGGACAGGGAAGTGCTAGGAGCCCAGTGACAGGTCTCTGCCTCTCTGTCTTCTGACCTGCATTTCTCTGTGGCTGGGCTGTCATCTGGTTGGGGTGGGGACTTCAGGGTGGACTGCACTGCATCTCTCGGGCAGCTCTTCATGAGGAAGAACTCATGGGGAGGGGTTGCAGAGTTCTTTGATTCTTTTTTTTTCCTCCCCCAAGACAGGGTTTCTCTGTGTAGCCCTGACTATCCTGGCTCTCACTCTGTAGCCCAGGCTGGCCTCAGATTCACAGAGATCCGCCTGCCTCTGCCCCTGAGTGCTGGAATTATATGTGTGCTACCACTGCCAGGCTGAGGCTTTGATTCTCGTGACAAGGGTGCAATGTCTCGAAATGATTTGTTCGGATTTCATGGGATAGTGGTTCCCAGTGAGTGGGTATGGTGCTGCGGTTTCCAGAACTGATCATAACTCGTTGTCATCCTTAATAGTGCTAAGTGTCAGGATGGTAGAGTAGTTCGAGCCCCAGACTCAAGTTCTGCTTCCCTAGCACTGATAAGGATATGATGTTAACTTAATTTCCTGTGTCTGAATTCGTTACTTTTTTTTTGTAATTAAACCCACTTCTGAGATGGTTGGGGAATATTTTGAGGTGAATGGCCTTTGGGTTGTTCTTCTCTGTCTAGATAGGTTAAGCCTGTTGATACCACAAACTAAGATTATTAAAGGTTTCCTGGGGGCAGCAGAACTGTGGGGGTGAGAAGCTAGGAAGGCGAAGAAAGCCATTTGTCGTCCTTTTATTCTAGAGAACTTAAAGTGGCTTCAAGTTTACAGTTCCATCTTCTGCCCCCAGTGCCATGTCATGGCACTGGATCGTCTTCTCTCACTTTATCTTTAGCTTGCTGCCTACCTGTCAGTCAAGTGTATTTTTTTTTTCTTAAAGGTACTGTGGTATTGGGCTTTGGCCACAGGAACCAGGTCACTGAACGGGAAAGATGTCATCCCTGCCTCTACAGGCCACTGTTGAGTTCTACATGGCTGCCCTACTGGAACACACAGAAAATAGCAGAAATGGCCCCGTGTCTACTCTGGGAGAACTTTCTTTGGCCTCTTCTATTTATCTGCTTTTGCAGGATTTTTCTAGATTTAGAGGGCCTTCTTCCTGTTTTCAGCAAATGTCTTCATTTTTCTTCCTCAGTTGCTAGTGGCCACATCAGGCCAGTGTAGCTGTCCCTGAAAACTTTGGAGCTGACCTGGCCAAGGCCTTTTGGGGGATCTACAAGGACGGAGAAAGGTGGTTCCTTATCCATGTCTCTACTTGGGGCTGAGAGGCCTGGTTAGGGACCCAGCGTCAGCTGGAAATGGCAAGGAGACTCAGGGGTCACTCCTAGACAGGTTAAGATGTCAATACCACAAACCAGAGTTGCTGAGAGTTGCCTGGGCTGAGGAGAGCATGTGGGGTATGAAGCAGGGAAGGCTAGAAAGCCCTGTGTGCTTCCCATGGGCAATGACTGTTCCAACAACTAGCACATGTGTGGGGAAAGGATACATAATGGCCTGGAGACTAGGGTGGTGGAAGGCGTGAAGTACCCAATCGGTGTCTTCACTTTTTTTGGCACTGGCGCCTCTCAGATCCCAAACATTGCTTCCAGAAAGAATATCTGCAATAAATCCGAGCCAGGTTGAGGTTATGTGGCTAAGTCCACACACAGGTTGGCACTTCGAAGCACAAGGTTTCAGAACATGGTTGGATGACATTGATATGTTGGATACTTCTGTTCCACCTGCAGGTGATCCCAACAGAGACATGAAGGAAACCTTGAAGTGCACCGTACACATCCACAATCACACTCAGCCACCTTCTCTCAAGAGGCTCCTTCAGCCCCTTCCACACTGCAGCCCAGGTCAAACTTTCAACCTTGCGTGGAGAGTGACCAGCTGTGACGTTCTGGTTGTGGGGTCTCAGGCTCTCCTGCCACACCTGGTGTCTGCTCACTGCTTTCTTCACCCCACTGGGAGCATCACTGAGTTGGGTCCAGTCCTCATGTCCTGTCTTCTTTTCTCTTCTCGTCCCTCTGTCCTTGTTGATTCAGTCTGTACTCAGATTCTCCTAGTTGTTGCCTGGAATACCGCAGTTGCTTCTTACCTGGCTCCCTGAGATTCTCAAAGCATCTCTCTCACCATGTTATTTCCAGGCTTAAAATGCTCCCTGGCCTCTTGGTGCCCTCATGATGCGATCTGAGCCCTGCAGCAGATCTGCAGGGCTCCTGAGACTCAGCTACTGTGTTCCCTGGTCCTATCCACTGTGCTCCCTACTCTGTCTCTGGACAGTGGCTAGATTGCTCCTCTTGGGCCATGGTTCCTCCTACTTGGCCCTCCCAGGTTAGGTGCCCTCTGTCTGTCCACCCAGGGCTCAGCAGACCTCTGTCCAGCAGGGATGTTCTTCACTGCTATGTCTGTGTCCCTGCAGCTGGTATCTGCATATCTTTGTGGGTTTTCTTTGCTGTGTACACAGCAGTTCCTGGGTGCCTTGGGGTTGCAGTAAGGAAGGGAAGAAAGATTTGGCAGATGCATTAAGCGCGGGCTGGTGTGTTCAGCGTGGCTGGCCACTCTCCTGGACTATTCTTTATTTATCTCCTCTTCCTTTTTTTTTTTTTTTCCCAGACCAAACCAAAACCAAACAAAACAAAACCCTGTGCCCGAGTTCACTATTTCTGCTTAGGGTACTAGTGGCCGCTAGGCTTCCAGTAGGAAAACCTTAGTGATGTACAGTTCGCCTCCTAGACTGCTACCACCAAGTGTTGATGTTGTTGATGTTCCTTTCCTATTATGCCTTTTCCTTTCTTCTTCATGGTCTGGCTGCACCCTCACTGGGAAAATTCTCAAGGCTAGGCTTGGAATGTGCTGTAGCCCACACTGGAGTAGGATTGCACACACATGCAAAGTGAGGCTGGGTATGACCCAGCTTGGAGTGCTTGTCAAGGCCTTGGGTTCCATCCCCAATATCACAAATTAATAACAGCAGCAGCAACAAAGCCGTGCTGACAATTTTCCTCCTTGACTTTCCTCCATCTTGTTAGGACTGCACCCTTGGCTGGCTGTTTCTCTTGTGTCCTGCCACCAGCCCAAATTTGACCTTCCCTGACCTTTCCATGCTTACTTGACTAGGCCCCAGGCACTGACTCCTGCTTGTTTCAGGCTTGGAGTAGCCTTTCCCTGTCTTCACTGAGGACTTGAAGTTCAGGGCTGCCATCAAGCCGCACCTTCCTGACGAGCCCCAGAGGCACCAAGAGCTCTTCTGTGCTACTGAGGGCTCACCTCACCAACACCGGTCCATTCTTCTAGCCCTGTGTGCGAGTGGTATTCTATGGATTTGAGGCAAGAGTGAGCCATCCAGGAAATTTTCTGCTCCTAGAGCCTCTGCAGTGTTGCGGAGATTAATTCAGCTGACTGTCTTCTTCCCTGGAAGAGGAGTGCCTCAAGGGTAAGGGGCCTTCACTGCCCACCATGGCTGCCCTCCAGTTAAGTTGACCTGAGACCCTCCAGAACACACCAGCCTTAAGTTTGGGCCCAGGCCCTTCTGCACTGAAGGCTGCTCCCAAATGCCCCAGCCTAGGCTTGGCCCCAGCAGTCGGGGCTCTTACTGGCTCGACTGAGTCCTCACAGAAGGCATTACAGATTCCAAGTGCTTCTCTCATCCTGTGTTGAGTTATGAGTCTGCTGCTGGACCTCTCTGCACCCCTGCCACCCTAGGGGTAGGGCAAGAGTGTGGCCAACTCCAACTTCTTCTGGACTCTGAAGTTTTCTGCTTCCCGGATAGCCAGCGAGTTCTGGACTGGGTAGGTCCCCAATTCCAGAAGCTCTGCCTTCTGCCCTCTCCTCTAGCTTCTTACTTGCTCCTCTTTAGGGTTTAAATGAGCTTCCTCCTTCCTTTCTAGTCTCCCCTTGCCTATCTTGCTTTCTTTCTACCTCAAGCTTCCTTTCTGTCTCTCAGTTCTCAGGCTTCTCCCATGTTCCTTATTATCCCCCCTCTCATTCCAATGTCTTCTCTCAGCCCTGCTCCTCCTTTCCTACCCTTCACTCCCTAGCTTTGAGGTACCCACAGAAAGCTAGAGAGCCTCTGCTCTCATATTTTCTGGGACAGGGTATGGTAGGCTGGGCCTGCTCTGTCCCTCTTCAGTGACTGGTATCCTGAAAAACCAGAGGCATCTGTAAAGATCAGAGGAGCGTATGGAGGAGGCAGGCATGCCCAAAGGATGCTCTGTCATTCTCTAACTTAGTTTCTAAACTGAGGACTTTATTAATCAAATGCATATTTCCTCAGAAAGCCCTGTGTGAAAGCAAACCTTTACTATCTCCCTTTTCCCGGTAGGGGAAGATGAAGAAAAGGGGAAGTCATCTGTCTCAGGTCATAAATGGGTTGGGCACTAGAGCTGTCTCTCTCTCCTACCCTTTGGGCATCACCCTCAGACCAACTCCTCTTCTGTCCACAGTAAAACAAGCACCTGTCATGCACACTGGCCAGTCAAGCCCAAGCTCCAGTGACCCTATGTTGAAGTCATTGACATCTACCAGATCTGACAGACTCCCAGAGAAGAAGGGTGGCTTCAAGAGGCTGTTTGAATAGACATTCCTCAATGCTGTGGTCTTCATGAAGTGCTGGGTAAGCCCTGGGCCTTTTCTTCCTGCTTTCACGGGATGGTGGAAAGAGCAAAACATGATACCCTAACTGTGGAGGAGGCAACCAGAGGGAGAGGATGGATGTACACACAGAGGCCGCTGCTGGTGAGAACCACGTGCTGGAATGGGGCTAAGGCTGGAGAGCTGGGCGATGGAAGGAGGTCCTTTGTTTTTGGCCGTTTCCATCCTCTTTTCCTCTATGTTCCCCCTTCCTTTCTCTCTGCATTGGGTGGCACCTAGCACCTTCTCCATGCTAGGCTAGGCTCCTGCACAGAGGCTCTGGTGGTGCCTGTGGCATCCAGTCCTGAGCAGGAACTGGGGCTAAGGAGTACTGGGATCAGGAGGGGAGCTGGTGCAGAGCATGTCACTTGAGCCTTGGGTTCCTTGCCTGGTGCTAGTCCTTAGTTGGCCCTCCAGTGTCTGTCTTGAAGTGTTGATCTTGGTAGACCCTGGAGAAGAAGACTGTAGCAGAAGGCATTATCTATCTGTCACTGCGCTGGCCAGGCCACATAAAGGGAAATACCCATGCCGTCTCAAACAGTCTCATGACAAACTTGGCCTGTTCTTCTCTCTTCGTCTCACTCTTGGGGAGGTGTTAAGTGGCTGGAACTGGGCCACAGGATGCCCTCCTCCGAGATCAGGGGACACAGCGCTGCCCTCACACCGTCCTTCCAGGGCCTAGAACACGCAGGAGGGGTGCAGAGAGGAGGCCAGGCCAATAGACAATAAGGGCAGGAAGGTATGTGACTGAACTTAACCGTGGAACGTTGGCCATGCCCCAGCCAGGCCTGGGAAGTGTCAGAACCCCGCTTCTACTTCTGGTAACCCAGGAACTGTTTTTATCTTAAGCATTTATTTGTTTTTCAGTGCTGCACCTTGCTCTATTCTTGTTTGGTTGTTCTTATTTGCTTATTTATTTTACAGTGCAGGGAATGGGGCCCATTCATGCCCCCACATGCTCCAGACACTCTCCCACCAGTCAGCTTCCTCCTTTCTGCCTCCTACTCACAAGTTCTCATTCTCATTCAATCCCAGGCCACTCAGTGATGTAAAACCTTCTTGTTCCAGCAAGAGCGTGTTCACACAAAGCCTTATGGTGCATTCCTGGTAGCCTTAGGCTGGGATGGAATGGTCTCGCCTACAACTTGGCCCAGTGGCTGTCTCTCTCCAAAAGAGGCTGGTGCTGGTGACTGACTTCAGATGCTTTAGTTCACACTCTCCTTATGAGCAGAACAGCAGTTGGGCCTAGCTTTGGGAGGGGGCAGGATCTGCCGGGCAAAGGGGAGATGGGCCATGTCCTTGTGTGGATAGGAAAGACAGAAGGGAGCGGGGAAGCTGTGGGGAGAGGGGTGTGAGAGGGAACAAGTGAAAACATTGCTCTGAGGTGAGCTGGATCCTCAAAGGTCGTGCTCTACAAATCTGGAGTTTAATCAATGTGGGGTGGGTGTACATGTGTATGTGTGTAGGCACGTGTGTGTGTTGTATGTATGCCCTTGCACATGCTCACACACCACTCTTGAGCTGCACACAGCCTATTGATCTTTCTAACATGGTTGTTATTAACAGCAGAAAACTTTTTATAATGAAAAGCATCAACTTTCCCTAGCCCCAAGCCCTCAGAGCAGTGAGTTTAACTGCTTGTTCTGACTTCTACCTTCTGTGTGCTAAGAACAGGGCTTCTCTGAGAGCCGGCACCTTAGGGAGGCTGAGCCGAACCCAGAAGAGGGAGCATTGGAGGTCAGGGCAGCTTAGCAGCCATCCTTATCTGTCCTCATGTGCCAGGGTCTCAAAGGCAGAAAAATGTAGTGAGGGACATTTGCTAATAGTGAGAGTGTGCATCAGTCATGGGCAGTCCCCTGTCCCGCTCCCTCCTCCTACCACTGTCTGCTGTGGACTCTTAGGAAGGAAGCCTGTCCAGGCAAGAAAGTTGCCTGTCTCACAGCCAGCCTTCCTCCTCCTCCTTTGTTTGCTCAGTCTGCCTCCCGGGTGCTGGGGAGCTGATGAGAACCTGTCTAGAGCAGAGGCCACTTGGTTTTTCTCTGTCCAAGCTGCTGCCTCCCCCACCCCCTTAGAGTTTCTGTTCACACCGAGGGGCTATGGTGGTGGTCCTGCAGCATGTCTGGGCTTGTCCCCAGTGCAGATGGCAGCAAGGTGCAGTAAGAGGAGGAGGTGGAGCCTTCAGTCCAACTCTGAGGAATATCTGAGAAGACTGTGAGACAGCAGAGATCACTGTCCTTGGTAGGGAGGGACCAGTATCCATCTGTCTACTGGACAAAGCCAGGACAGCCTTCTGCTCTCTTCTGGGCCTGACATTTCTCCTAGGCACATACAATTACATAGCAGGGGATCCGAGCCACCCCACCCCATAGATAACAGTCCCAGCTCATGTGTCAGCCACCCGATACCCCACACCTGTTCCAGGCCCAGTTTGTGAGCTGCCTGTCTGCACAAATAGGGTACAAGGTAGGCAGCATTCAGAAGGCTGGTCAGTGACGGGGCTGGCTGCCTTGGACTGCACCTGCAGGGAGAGGCAGTGTTGGGTTCCAGTGACCAGTAGATACGCTATGGGGTAGGTCTCCTGTGGAAGTGGACACCATGTCCTGAGGTTGTACATTCCAGCTCCAGAGTAGATTCTGGGACAAGTTTGGGATCCTCCACCTCTGTCCAGCTCACTAACTACTTTGATTTCAATGATATATTCCTTCATAGTAGAAAAAAAATCTTTTGCCTCTTTCTGCTCCATGGCCCTCCACAGTGCTGGGCTGGGGCTGGATGGGTGGATGTCTTAAAGGGGGGGGTCCCAGGATGGAGAGTGATGGGGGTTCAGAACTCAGGGGGTAAGTAGGGTTAGGTCAAGGGACCTTTTCTCACTTAGCACCACCTAGAGGTAAGAGGTGGAACAGCAGCATGCCACCTTTCTTCAAGGCCTGTAGTGTGGAGAATGGTCGTGTCCCCAGAACCTTCTGCTGGACAGATCATGAAAGCGTGCCAGTTGTGTGAGCTGGGGTACCAAGACGGGAATACTGCCTTTGTGTGTGAACGTAACAACCCCCCCCACACACACACATAGGGTCTCCCTAGCATGATGCACAGAAAAGGCTTAGATGTCACAGCCACGGAAATGTCTTCTTAGTTATATAATTCACAGGTCCTTGCTGTTATTATATATTACTTAGCATGAAATTAAAACTAATTTTTTTAAAAACACCACAAGCCACTCTCATGCCCACAATCCTACTTTTTGGGAGGCTGAAGCAGGAAAACCCATCTGAGCCCAGCCTTAATTACATAACAGAATTCTGCCTGAAAAGAATAGAAGAAAAGAAGATCCCTCAAGGGCATACGTGGCTGTGTGGCAGACAATTAAAGATAGCATTGGCCCGAAGCCCGTGGACCAGGTGACTATAATCTGTGAATCAGCACCGTTTCTGGCCCTGGCCTCATTCTTTGAAGCCCCTACATTCGAAGGCAGCTACTGTTTGTTTTTTTTTTTCCTTAAAGTTTTTGCAACAAGGTTTTACTGGCCTGCAATTAACTACACAGCCTGGATCATCCTCAAATGCATGGCAATTCTCTGTCTCAGCCTCCCGAGTGCTAAGATTCGAGATTCCAGTCACCATGCCCTGCCTTCCTCCTAGCATTTTTTACAAAGGCATGGTCCAGTTTCTGCTCCATGTTTCTAGTCATAGCAGAATCTGAACACGCAAACCATCCTTCAGCTCCTTTCAGGCCAGACTGACAAATTTGGTCTCCCAGGATTGATCTAAGGCTTAAAGTGGGAGAAAGCCCTGACGCTGGGCCTCATTATCAGAAGAAGAACTCAGGCCATGGCTGGCCCACACCCGCCAGACTCACAGGTGCCCTTTCTGCCTTGCTCCACACCGCCCAGCTACCCTCCCCTATAGAATCAGGATGGAGGCCGAGTGGGGAGGCTGAAGCCATCCTGGGTAGGGAGTAGAGGGTGTTTAGGAAGGGAACTGACAGTCTATAGGCCCGGATGCTGTTGTAATTGCTTTTTCTTCCACCTATGGGTTGCATTTAATTAGTGCCTGGTACACTGAGCTATCTGCCATTCCACTTCCTCATGGAAATTCTTTTCCTGAAAGCAGTCCTTCCTCGGTCCCATAGCTGTTTTCCTCACTCAGCCGGTTCGCGCTCATCTGCAATGATAAAGGCGGGTTTTTCTCAGCATTTTTGTTGCTACGCAATCTCTGCATTGTGCCATAGGGCAATTACCACCTTCGCCCCAGCCCTGGCATCTGCAGAAAGATCTTACTCTGGGGAAACTGCTCCAGAGGAGAGAAAAATGGTGTCTGAGTGTCCCCTGGAGGCCACCGGTGATAGAACCACCTGTGCCTTGTGCTCTCAATCCTGCCCAGCGTGATTCTGGTGCTGTCGTTATCGTTAGAGAAGATTTTGGGCATCAGAACCTGAATCATGGCCTACAGCTGCCACTGTATTTGTGCACCCTACGCCACATGCAGTGATCTGAAACCAGCCATGCGGGTGGATGGATAAGGCCTCACCCTGTCTTTTGTATGTTATTTTCAGGAAGACAGGTAGAATGACCACACTGTGATTCCAAATAAGGTACACATATATGTGGTTTGATATATATAATACTTACATATATGTATTTACACATTTAAAAGACAGAAGTAGAAATGGGGGCTATTTGGTGGGAGGGTCAACAAGAGACAGTAATAGGGATAAATATGAACCAATATGAATCTGCCATAACAAAACCCTTGAAATGTCAGTGTTGCCAAGTAGTGGAGCATCCTTGGAATTCCAGCTCTGAGGAGGCAAAAGCGGGAGGATTGCCACAGGTTTGAGATCAGCCTGGTTTACAATAGCAAGTAATCAGGCCAGACACCCAGAACAAAAAGAAACAAAACCAGCCTACTGTAATATATCTATGTGCTTCTTCCAGTTCTGGCAGATGTTGATTTAATGCAGATCTAAGTTACAGGGTGAAGAGTC